CCCCATGTAGAGCGCATTGCAGTAGTCTATCTGGGAGATAACAAGGACGTGAGTGACTGTTCGAAGGGCATCCCGATCCAGGAAGATATCACTGATATCTTCAGAGATGACTCACTCACTGGCCAAGCCTTTCCATGGCAGAGTTTCATCTTCCACCATTAACAGCTTTCTGGCTTCTTAACCTGCATCGCTTCTCCTGAGTCTTTCTCACCTGTTTTCTTCTGACACAATGAAAGGTGCCCTTGTACAATTGTGAAGGATCCATCTTCATAAGTGAGGAAATGATGCCATTAAGTGGTTGTGTGAAGGAGAGTATGTTGAGGAAGAGGGAAGGGAAGTTATACACTGGAACACAATTTGGGCAAGTCTGAGCAGAAGTAATTCCCTGGCATGGAAGTCTCCCAGAAATTTGGAATGTGCATTAGAAAGCATTAAAAAAATGAAAAAGCCAGCATGATAGATCTCTGCCCAGTTCTTTTGTCTGTTATCTGCAGACTGGACATGTTCCAGCTCACTTTTATCAGGCATAGCCCAGTTTTTCTGATCTGGCTACAGCTGCCTTTAAATGGTTGGAAATTAAGAGGGGGCCAAGTATGCTATACTTCTAATAGGCTTAACAGAACTTTCAAAGTTTTTTTTTCTAAAAGGGGGGGGGAAAGGAGGAGGAAATTTTTACCAACAATACTGCCACAAACAGGAGAAATTTATCAAGGGACCATTGTAAATGACTGGATTTTGACCATACTGTGTCATTAAGAATTCCATTTATAATTTGGAACACTTATGGGACTCAGCCACAAAATGTTCTATGTGAAATTTTAGATAGTTCAAACATATTGACTACTTTCTTAGCAGTCTGGATGTTCATGGCCTGTGATGGGAGAATTTTTTTGTGCTTTGGGTTACTGGTCCCTTAGGTTGCTAATCTTTGAACACCGAATGAAATGTGTGATCCATTTGAAATCCAGATTTAGTATCCTACTCTAGATATCAACTCTTAAGAAATAAATAGTTGGACATTTTCTGAAATGCACTAATTCCTTAGTCCAAGAGCAAAACAACTGTACCTTTAAACAAGTACCTTGTTCCCTGATATTGATTTCAAATATATTTTTAATATTTTAAAAGTGGCTAAAAGATTTGATATTCTCTCCATATTTAAGTTCTTGTGAAGTTTTGTGCCAAAATGTTGAGGTCTTGAAAAATACCACATAAGTACACCAAATGCAAGGGAGATGTTACAGGACAGCTTAGAATTTATGTGAACTTTCACACAAGAATAACAAAAAAGCTCACATTTTTTCATGCTGGATTTCAGCATTCACAAGGATAAATGCAGGGTAAGATGGTAAAAATCTCATGCGCTTTGAGAAATTCATGAGACTTCAGGCTGGTTGTAGTGGATGGGACCCAAGCCATCACCCAAGAATGACCCCAGAAGAGGTTGTCCATCTCTACTTTAGACCATACCCAGTTAACTTCATGGTGGATTTTAAATTCATATCTGTTGTTTTGTCTTTCATCTGTTGCTTGCATTAGACATAATAGACCAGGAATTGGAAGAAAAGTGCAAGATCATGGAAGCCCAGTTGAAGGAGAAAGAGAAGGACAATCTAGAATTGCACAAGGAGCTGAGGCATAAAGAGAGCTTGGTAGCAGCCCTCCGATCCAACCTGAGGAACAAAGAGAGAAAGTTCTTAGAAGAGCTCAAGAGGAGAAGCCACCGAGTTACTGTCCTCAACACGGAGCTGCAGAAGCAGACTGAGGCTGCTGCTTACCTCTCCTTCCAGCTTCATTCAACCAAACAAAAACTTCATAGTTCCCGGCAGAGAAGCACACCCCTGCCTGAGAGACCCCCAGAGAAAACGTCCATCCCACAAGCCAGCGCTGAGGCTAGGCCCAAAAAACGGACTCAGAAGTCCCACGCCCGTAGGCAGGCAAGCAGCACCTTCCACAGCAAAGGCGCCTTCAAAGATGTTATGGCTCGTGAGAGGCTAAGCAGTTTTGAAGAAGTCGAACCCATGCCTGACCCAGCTCTTTTTTTATACACCAAACGATACCACCCTCCATTCCGTCATCAGAAATCAGAGCAGGGCACATCAGGTTTGTCCACCAAGGAAGGCTCTGAGCAGAGTGACCCGAAGGGCAGTTGGAAAGAATCTTTTCAGCAGCTTGTTGAAGAACCTACAGGAAATGTGAGTAACATCAGAACTTTGGGTCAACGTCGCTCATCTTCCAAAGGGGAACCGCAGAAGCAAAATAGCACTAGTGCTCACCCTTCAAAAAACTTTGAATAAAGGACCAGAAGGGAAAAGTATGCCACTATTTTGAAGTATCTTGTCTATAGGAACTGACTGTCTCGAGCACATCCGTCAATCTAGAGCCACGGGGCAGGGAATGTTCCACTCCTAAAGCCATTGAGATGCAACCATCTTTGACTGTTACCTTGTTTAAAAGACCGACATACTGTAGCTGTGCATTCCTTGGGAATGGTATCAGTAGGAGTGGACTGACCCAAACACTGGGAGGGCAACGGAGTCATCTGCTGTGGTTATAATAAGCAACCTTGCTCCGTATTTTGGCGAAAAGGATCAGAAAAGTGAGCCTTGTTTTTGTGCCTTGCTTGCTGGTTTTGGTTTTCCTTTTTTAAACTCTGATGGGAGCTTCCCCATTGGCCTTTGGGAATCTGGCTTTCATCAGCGAGCACTAAAACCAGCATCTAGGTTTCGCCTATGCTGAATGTGTGTGGTTTACCCCTCTCAACTGGGTGTGGTTTGCTTTGGTTTGACATTTCAGTACTTAGAAGACCATCCATTACTGGAGAAGATGGCCATGAAGAGTGAATGTGAGTGTCTGGGGTGCTTTTCTAGGATATACAGGGAAAGGGTTGGGTATTTTGGAATATATATTTTGAGCAAAGCAGGAATGTGCAACCTCAGGCCTAGGGTTACAATGGTGGTGAAAACCTTCAATGTGACTGCCCAAGATTAATTAATTAATTAATTAATTAATTAATTAATTGGTTTCGATAGCCACCCATCTCAACAAGTGACTCTGGGCGGCGTATAATCCTAAAAACATAAAGCAATTAAAACAATACAAATAAATATATATGGTGGCCGAGTAAAACTATACCGCCAAGAAACGGGGCCCTTAACACACTCAGGGCCCCAGGCCTGGGCCCCGAACCAGGACTTTAGGGCCTTAGGAAAGGCCAGCAGGGTCAGGACCAACCTCATCTCCAGAGGGAGGATGTGCCAGGGGGCAGCCACTAAGGCAGAAAAGGGCCTCCTTCTGGGCCTCTCCAACTGGCATTCCTTAGCCCATGGGACCCAAAACATGCCCTTCCTGCTGGACTGGATTGTATGGGTAGAACCAAACGGGGAGAGACGGTCCCTCAAGTAACCCAGTTCCATGCCATGAAGGGCTTTAAAGGTGACCACTAGCACCTTGAATTGCACCCAGAAGCACACCGGCAACCGATGCAGCTCACACAGCAGTGTGTTACACATGTCAAATATCCGACACTGTTTACTACCTGCACATCAGCAAAAATTGCCACCATGCTGTAATTTTTAAAGCAACTGAAATGGGAAGTGGTTAAAACCATGGAGAGAAATCATATTACTTGGGTGTAACACCATAAATTAAAATGGGTTCAAAGCAAATTTAAATTCAATTCAGTTGACTTTAATTTTGGCCTTGCCTCCCCTGCCCCCCATTTTTTTATTCTCTCCCACTTCTTGAAACGCAGCCACATTTAAAAATCAAATGCAGCCCTCGGACCAAAAACTATTGTACATCCCTAATTTGTAGCATAATATTCTAAGATGGGGTTCCTCAACCCCAGCAACTTTCAGATGGGTGGACGTCAGCTCCCAGAATTCCCCAGCCAGCATGGCTGGCTGGGGAATTCTGGGAGCTGAAGTCCAC